TTATAAGCCAGTGACAAAAGACAAATATGTATGATCCTACTTATAGGAGGTTCCTAAAGTAGTCAAAATCCTAGAGACAGAAATAGAATGGTAGTTGTCAGGGGCTGAGCAAGGAGAGGATTGAAGAGTTACAGTTTGATCGGTGCAGAGTTTCAGTTTTGCAAGATGAAAGGCGTTCTGGAAATGGATGGTGGTAATGGTTGCACAACAATATGAATGTAGTTAATGCCTCTGAATTGTACACTCAAAAATGGCTCAGAAGGTCACTTTTATGTTATGTATATTTTATCACAATAAAACTTGAGGGAAAAAATGTCCTTAGAGAACAGTCCAAGGGTTGATTAATTCATCAACTCAATGACGGCAAGGTTCTGGGTTAGCTTCTATGCAATTCTTTTGGTCATGGTCACATGGTCACAAGATGACTGCTGAAGCTCTAAACATCTTCACATCCAATGGCAGGTAGAAGCATTTCCTCTCTCTCTCTCTCTCTCTCTCTCTCGGAGAACCCTTCCCAGATAGTTTTTTCTGGAAGTCAACTCCCTCTCCCCGCATGCTCCTTCCCACCCTGTCCAGGTATATTTTCCTTACATCTCACTCATAATCATCACGAATGTATAATTATCTTAGCCTGATCAATAGTCCCTGGATCTGGCCCTAGCTGGTTTGGCTCAGTGAATAGAGCGTCAGGCCTGTGGACGGAAGGGTCCTGGGCTCGATTCCGATCAAGGTCAGCTGCTTGGGTTGTGGTCTTGATCCCCAGTAAGGGGCGTGCAGGAGAACACAGTCCCTGGACTTGGAGATGGACTCTCGTTCCAAAAGTGCCATGCTGTCTGAGACCCGAGAGCTAAGTCAAACCCATGTTCTCCTGTGAAAGAAAGGAAACCCATAGCCGTAGAGTAGGCAGCCAACTCTGACCACCATACAACTTATATTTCAGTAGTAAGTGCAACTGAAGATATTTCAATATGTGTAATACCCAAGATTTACCTCCTGGTTTGCCCCGTAGAACTGGCCTCTTCTTCCTTTGTGCCACGATAGTACACTCTGTATACATTCACTAGAATCTTCATAACACCCTTACCATTCCTACTTGTTTGCCGGTATGTAAGATTCTCAAAGACTGGACAATATCTTATTTGTCTTTGCCTCTCTAATGCATATATAAAACATAAAAGAACACAGAAGGCACTTACTAAATGTTTGATGAGTGATGAATGAATAAAGGAATGAATGAATGAGCAAATGAATGGGGTGGCCTGTTGAGAGAAGCTGCTAATAAATGAACTCAGCATTCTGAATTTAAAACCCACAAGGGAAACCAGAGCCAACCACATAACCATGTTGGGCTGAGCCTGGGCTTTGCAGGAAGCTTAGGTGCAGAGAAAAGGCAACACCTCAGAAGTCAGATGAGGAAGGAGAAAGGGAAGGAGGCAGGGTTTGGGGTTTGCAATCCTCCCCTTGAGCTGGGGCTGCGTGTGTCACAAGAAGCTCATTTTTGGCAGAGACACCAAGGAGAGAGAAGCTCGCGGGTCATGAACTGTTGTCTAGTGATGGGCTAGGTCTAAACATCTCCCCTGTTGTGTGGGTTGTTGTGGAAGTTGGAAAACCTTATTTCAAAGTACAAGTTGTTTCCATACTTGTTATTATGGTCAAATCTCCAGGCAACCATATCAGCTTGTGGCTACACGTGAAACCTTGCTAACATCATTAACCCAAAGTTCTTGATCTTGCCTCTGCCGTCCACTTGCCTGAATAATTCAACCTCTCCCCAACGATTTCTTTCCAGGAGTGCCCAAGTGTTCAGTTAGACTCGCCATTGGCAGAGGGGGGGGGGGGTGGGCTGCTGGGTTTGTTATGTTCTTCCTTTCCTGCTCTGGCTTCCCTCTGTCACTGTGAATACTCAGGAGGTAGCTTGAGGGACTCTCGCCACCGTGTGGTGCCTGCTGTGAGAATGTCCAGGCCCAAACTGAGAACACAGTCTTTTAGAGCCTATTCAGCTTCCAGGTGTCAGCAAAGCTGATAAGAAAGGCCATCTTCCCAATTCTAGGCCCCCAAACAGCACAGCTTGGGCTCAGGATCTCTCACAAAGTCAACGCTCAGCTCCGATTCTCACCTCTTTTCCCATCAGACCTCCAACTAGTCAAAAAGGCCAGGCTGGCAGGAGGAGACTTTTATATTGCAGTTAACTCAACAAATACTTCCCATTTCTAGATAAAACTAGATTTAAAAAAATGCTATACTTATTCATGTTATAAAGGGTCAGGGCTTCATTTTCTTTTCTTTTTTTAAATATATTTTTATTGATTTCAGAGAGGAAGGAAGAGGGAGAGATAGAAACATCAATGATGAGAGAGAATCATCAATCGGCTGCCTCCTGCACGCCCTCCACTGGGGATCGAGCCCGCAACCCAGGCATGTGCCCTTGACCGGAATCGAACCTGAGACCCTTCAGTCCGCAGGCCGAAGCTCTATCCACCGAGCCAAACCGGCTCGGGCAAGGGCTTCATTTTCTAATTACATTCCTGGTCTCATCCCCTTTCGTTTGAAGGCGGAAAGAAGACACCTGGGAGAAAACTAACAACAGCCCTGGCCCGGGAGGTCAATTTGAGCCTCTCCGCTTCCACTGGGTTTACAACCACGAGGGCTGTTCTGCTCTGCTGCCTTCAGTGTAGGGGTCAGTAAAGGCAAATGTTGCCGTGTCAGCCTCCCCGACAACTAGACTTGGTTATGCGACCTAATGAGGCACGAGGGGGAGCCTTCCTGGGGCTTCCAGGAGGCTTTTGCTTTTCCCGGCAGAAGGGACAGATGAGCCTGCCACCACACCTTCTCTCTGTGGCCCCCTTACCTTCTTCCTTCATTAAACATGATACAATGTTTGGAAATGCAGCTGCTTTCTCGTGACCATAACAAAAAGGCCAACGTAAGCCAGTCACAGAAAGACAAGTGCCATGTCTCACTTATGTGTGGAATCTCATGAACAAAATAAACTGACGAACAAAATAGAACCAGAGGCATGGATGCATGGAACAGACTGACAGCTGTCAGAGGGGAGGCGGGTGGGAGGGACTGGATAAAAGAAGGTGAAGAGATTGGTCAAAGAATATATGTATGCATAGCCCGTGGACACAGACAATAGTGTGGTGAAGGCTAGGGGAGGGGACAGAAGGGGCAGTGGTGGGAGGAGGGGTCAATGGGAGTAGGGAACATTTATAATACTTTCAATGGGGACATTTGTAATAGTGTCAACAATAAATACATTTTTTAAAAGGCCAAGAGAATCCCTGTCCTGAAATCTTCCAGCCTCTACACCAGCTTTGAACTGGTTTCCTCCAGGCTTGTTTATGAGAGAGGAAAATAGATGCCCATTAGTTTAAGCTACTGTGTGGCAGTTATTGGAGCCCAAAGCATGATCCCAGTTGTTGCAAGCTGGACTTTTGCACATTTTATGTGCTGATACTATGAAACCATCTCTTAGAGTCCAAGTTGTTCATTCATGAGTCACCTGACGGGCAATGCTCTTGATTCATCACTTGGTGGCCCTGCCTGCCATTTGCTGCTACTGGAGGCAGGAGACAGGTCTTCAACAAAGTGATGGAGGCAACGGAAGGCAGTCCTGATAGAAATTCTACTCCCCCCCCTTTTTTAATATTTTTATTGATTTCAGAGAGGAGGGGAGAGGAAGAGAGAGATATGATGAGAGGGAATCATTGATTGGCTGCCTCCTGCACATTGGACCAAGCCCGCAACCCAGGCATGTGCCCTTGACTGGAATCGAACCTGGGACCCTTCAGTCTGCAGACCAACACTCTATCCAAACCAGCCAGGGCAGAAATTCTACTCTTAATCTCAAGGAATATAAATGAGATCCAAGTATGTAATCTTTCCTCTCCTTGAATGTCCAGCCATTCCATCCCTCACTCTGTTGCCTGAGTAACGTGCTCTCTGCTGCATCTCTCTCTGTCCCTCTCCCACTCCCACCCCATGCGGCTGCACACATTCATGCCCCTGCTCTCCATGGCTTCTTGCTAGAGGAGCTTGTTTTTTATTCTTTTCTCCTTAGAATCTACCCATGTGGCGAATACCACTTTTCTCCCTCTCCCATGTCCCCAATTCTGCATCGAAAATCCCAGAAATCTGGTTTGGACCCTCCACGCTCTTCTCCACAGTTGGGTGTGGGTGGATGGGAGGAACCGAGCAGCCCAAGCGATGCCAAATTTAGCAGCAGGAGGAGGACGGGAAAAGCTGGCAATGCCAATATGTGTGAAGGGTGGCAGGTTTTTTCACCCTGCTCACACATGTGCAGAGAAAATGTACCATCTTTATTTCTCTAAAAATTATTCTTATCTTCCTTAGGAGCCTCCAACTACCGAATAGCTGGGAAATACTCTGGCACAACAATTTAAATAGACGTGTTAGGGCCTGGCTGGGGGCGGGGGGCTCAGTGGTTGAGTGTCAACCTATAAACCAGGATGTCAACATTTGATTCCCAGTCAGGGCACATGCCCAGGTTGCTGGCTCGATCCCCAGTAGGGGGCTTGCAGGAGGCAGCTGACCAAGGATTATCTCTCATCATTAATGTTTCTCTATCTATCTATCTATCTATCTATCTACCTATCTCCCTCACTCCTCCTCTCTGAAATCAATAAAAAATATACTAAAAATAAATAAATAGACATGTAAGGTAAATGGTCCATCTCTTTAAATAGATATAGATATTGATTTTTTTACAGAAAGAAAGGGAGAGGGATAGAGGGCTAAAAACATTGATGAGAAACACTGATCAGCTGCCTCCTACATGCCCCCTACTGGGGATTGAGCCCGCAAGCAAGGTACATGCCCTTGACTGGAATCGAACCCAGGACCCTTCCGTCTGCAGGCCGACGCTCTTCCCACCAAGCCAAACCGGTTAGGGCTGGTCCATCTCTTTATGTAAAACATGCTTAGTGTCTAGATATCTGCATCCTCCCTCTCCGTCTCTGCGAGATGGTGTCTGGGTTCTGGGTGGCGTTGTGGCTCATGCACTCCCTCTCAGGTCATTAGCATCTCTGCATCTTGGCTGCTTGCTGCTGTGGTGGTGGCCCGGACACTCCCTGGGTTGTATCCAACTCACCCCCCGGAGTCCTGTGAGTCCCCGCTGCTGAGGCTCTATCTACTGAGGTTCCTACTGGTTGGACGGGCCTGCTCGTGCTGCTTCATGACTCAGCCTCCGCTCCGGCTGCCGCTACAGCCCCCACAACCCCATCTGACTCTTGCCCAGAAGGTCCACCACGAGTCTTGTTGCTGACTCACCTCTCCCTCGTGATCGCTGATGCCTGGAGGCCTGTTGGCTGTCAGATCAGCTACTTCCCTGGCCTCTGATCAGGAGCAGGTGAGAACTTCTTGGTGCAATTCATTCCCTACTGGTCCTGGGGGCAGCCCAGGAAATGACATTCCCTCTCCCTCCCTGCAGAATCATGCTGTGCTGTTGAGTTCAACCCAGATACAGCCGCTCCCAGGGTGATGCCAGCCAACCTGCAGGAGGAGCCCCTCCCCGAGGCCCAGAGAAGTCTGCAGAGGCCCTGGCCGGTCCTCCGCCTGCTCAGCACACCTCCCACTGTGGGTGGAATCCTGAGACGGGAGATCAGAGTCACCTCTGACGCTCCCCAGCCACCTCTCTCTCCCTTTCTCCTGTGTATTCCACCAGGACGGACAGGGTGGATGTTCCTCTTTCCTTTCCTGCCCACGCCAGGACTTCCCCGTGTAAAACGGTGATCAGGTTAGTTTGTGATATGCCAACAGGAGAAAGAAAGAAATCTAGAACATCTTTTCTCTCTCTTACATAGCTTAGCCTTTAAGATAAGGTGGCTGAAAAATCCTAAAATCCTATTTGGAAGCTGATACTTAACTTTTTCTTCCCCTTTCTCTTTTTGTTTGTACTAGTATTCCTTCTGTAACAATCCCAAAGACATGGAGAGTGGTCTTTGGATGTAACAGTTGAAAAGAGCAGTTATCCTTGGACAAGTTGGAAAGTTGCTAAGATTCTTTCTTAAAACCCAGATCTGTGAATACATTTAACGTCTCCTTGGGAGGGGGTAAAAGTATGTTTTCACAACAACCAACTACTATACAGGGGTGGGCAAAAGTAGGTTTATAGTGTGAGTACAGGAAACAGAGTTTATTCCTGTATTATTATTTATTAATTATTATATTTATTATTATTAACTTACTTTTGCCTGCCCCTGTATAAAGGAAAGCAGCGTATGCGAGTATTTCAGAACTGTTATCGCCATTCTATAAATTGATGATTTTCCCTTCCCCATGTCATGCTTTAGGGTGGATGTTCCATAGAGGCCTGCAGGGCGGGACCACAGCCCTGTGGGTAGACCGCATCTGTCCAGTGAATGGCCAGAAGAAGATGTAGGTCTGCAGACAGGAAACCAGAACTCTGAAGACAAATCTCAACAAACAGGTGAAAGGGCTCTTTCCCATCCTCCAGGTCCCTGACTCACAGGGGCCTCCGGACTAGTAAGGGCTTCCCAGGTGTGGGCTCATTTTCTCCCCCGAGGAGTTAGGCCCTGGGCCTGCAAAGGGAGACTTCGCTGCAGGATTGTGCTTCCCCAACCCTACAATTTGGAAGATGGGTGTAATGAAATGTTGTCAATGGGAGGACTGGCATTGTCAAGCAAGTATCTTTAAACCACTATTTTTACCATCAAGGTTTGTTATTATTTTTTAATAAACAAAGGACTTTGAACACCTAAAAAGTTGGTGGTTTTATTTTAAGGAAGACATCATTTATTGATAAGACAGAAAGCCATTTCAGATGCCTGAATAGCATGGATCAAAGGCATAGGAGAGAGGCAGGGAAGGGAGGGAGGCATATCTTTTCCAGGGGTGTAGCTATACTTCTTTGCCTCCAGGATTTGTGCAGGGGCCAATGGGAGGCGGGACCGAAAGGAGCTTAGAGCATGTCTCAGAGATCCTTGAGTAATCGGGTGAGAAACTAAAATGTCAGCTCTGACACCGTCAGAGGATCTGACTGGTCCATGAGAAGGAAACTGACTCGAAGAAAACCAGGCCTGGGAAATTTAAGTTGTAGATTATTGCAGCCTCTGGTGGAGTTACTGCATTTTGAGGGCAAGAGGCTAGAGGGAGGAAAGTCATTTAGGAGGGAAAATTTGGAACCCATGCTAGACTTTGGCTGAAGTGTAAGGTTTGATGAGTAATGACTGGGACACTTTTTCTGTACCTGTTGGTTATTGTATCTATAGGTGATCATGGTGGGGCTAGGAGTTGAATTTATTTTATTTTTTATTTTTGGCACTGTTACAGGTGTCCCCCATATCTCCCCTCCCCCCCTCCACCTTTACCACACTATTGTCTGTGTCCATATAGGCATATTCTCTTTTTAATCTCTTCCTGTCCCCCCCCACACACACCCCTCACTTCTGAGATCTAGCAGTCTGTTCCATGCTTCCATGACTCTGGTCCTATTTTGTTTGTCAGTTTCTTTTGTTCATTAGATTCCACATATAAATGAGATCGTGGGTGATATTTGTCTTTCTCTGACTGGCTTATTTCACTGAGCATAATAATTTCCAGGTCCCTCCATGCTGTCTCAAAGGATAAGAGTTCCTTCTTTTTTACAGTCACGTAGTATTCCATTGTGTATATGTACCACATCTTTTTTTATCCACTTATCCACTGATGGGCACGTGGGCTGTTTCCAGATCTTGACAATCCTATATAGCGAAAGGCTAATATGCAAATGTTCCCCTTGGGAGTTCAACTGACTGGGAGTTTGACTGCTCGCTATGACATGCACTGACCACCAGGGGCAGCGCGGAATGAAGGAAGGCCCCGGCTGATTGCCGGCCAGACCTAGGGACCCTACCGGTGCACGAATTTCATGCATCGGGCCTCTAGTCTATCTATATATATAAAAGCCTAAGTGACCGTTCGACCGGTAGCTATGATGCGCACTGACCACCAGGGGCAGATGCTCTAACTGGTAGGTTAGGTTGCTGGCCGTGAGTTAGCTTGCTGCTGGGGCCCTGTCAGCCCCAAATTTGGTTCACCTACACCCTGGACCCAGAGAGGAGGGAGCCCAATTCCTTGCAGAATCGGCCATGGGTTAGCTTACTGTGATATTAAAATATTTCTTCTAATTAATTTGCTTTCAATGTGCACGAATCTGCGCACTGGGCCACTAGCATATATATAAAAGGCTAATAGGCAAAGTGTCCCCTCAGAAGTTTGACTGGGAGACTGGAAGTTCGATCACTTGCTATGACATGCGCTGACCACCAGGGGTGGCGTGGAATGAAGGAAGGCCCAGACAGCAGACGAAAGGCCCTGATCGGCCCTGATCACCAGCCAGGCCTAGGGACCCTACCCATGCCAGAATTTCGTGCACAAGGCCTCTAGTTGTAAATAATGCCGTTATGAACACAGGGGTGCATATATTCTTTCAGACTGGTGTTTCAGGATTCTTAGGATATATTCCCAGAAATGGGATCACTGGGTCAAACAAAAGTTCCATTTTTCATTTTTTGAGGAAACTCCATACTGTTTTCCACAGTGGCTGCACCAGTCTGCATTCCCACCAGCAGTGTACTAGGTTTGGGAGGTGATTTTAAATAGTACCACAGATACTCCTAATAACATAACAGATATGCACAGGGTAGATTTTCACATTTTAGACAATTCCTATTTCATTCTATACAGAATGTAGTCCATATTTATACAGGCTTTCTACCTGGACTCTGATGCCTGTATTGGTATATGGCTTCTATACTTTTCCTTTGAGTTACCACAGTCCATGATTATTTCATTAATGTGAGCATTTCAGTAATCTCTCTTCCCTCCACTAAACCATAAGGACCATAAAAACAGGGCCCATGGATTTTTTTTAACCATTAAATCCCCAATACCAATCACAGGTCCTGACATATGATAGATATCCCCAAAACACTTACTGACAAAATAAATGAGCGAATGAATAAATGAATTTACCTCTAGGAAGAATGGTTTGAATCAGCGTCAACAAATACCCTTTACGAAGTTCCTTCCTGTGTGTGGTCCTGTGTTGCTATGGTTTGTGAGAGAGAGAGGTTCTCGAAGGACACAATCAAACACAGACAAAAAAATGGGTCCCATGATCGCTGCTACAGGAAGTGGTCTAGATGGCTCCCGGCTCTCTTTCCCCTCTGCTGGTGTTCGCAGGCAGGGTGCTGGTGTAGTGCCACCTGTGGGATCAAACGGAAAACCCAGCTTTTTGCACAATCTCTGCAAATAAACACGCTGCGGTCCCTTCTAACTTGTGCTCATTGGGGACCTTCTCTGGCATTTAGAGGCTTTGTACATTTTTAAACTTGGCTTCATGTCTTCAGCTAAACTGGCTGTTTTCTTGCCCTTTCTCTATGAAACAGTTGCTTTGTTTAATTCCGTTCTCTACATTTCAGATAAAGGGATCTTGTACATTAAATTGTAGCAACATTTCTGTTACGCAAAAGTAGTCAGGGAAGGGAACCATCGATAGAATGACCTGTGTGCCTTGCCGGTGTCACTTGGAGACGCCGATATCTGTGATAGAAATACATTCTATAGTGGCAGGGTGGCAAGACGTCCACTGAGAAAAGATGATTGAAAAGAAAAACGGGCAGCTCCTCAGCCATTTATTGTAAACATCTGTCATGAGGCTGGAAACGCATAAAAATAATGGTTATGAGAATCCTGGCCAACGATGTTACTGATTGTGCTTTACAAGGACACATATATTCTAGACAGTTTATGTCAAGTACTTACGCACGCCTTGGCCTATTTGTCCATGTCAGCAGAAAAGCTTATCGGCTCAAATGATGTTGAGCTCCCATTGTCTCCCGTCTGTGGTTTTATCCTGCCAGTGTTGTTATGTGGAGTTTTTGGCTTGCTTTCTCCACTTCTGGACAGATTTCCAAAATCTTTTTAAAAATCTTATGTTTTTGGCATTTGATGTCTTATCTTTCCTTTCCTGGTTCCTGGCTCCATATCAGCAGTAGATGCATTTTATGATCCTTTTAATTGGGGTGGTGAAAGGGGGGAGAATGTAGAAAATATTTACCCACAATGGATATGATATATATTTGATACACACACACACACACATTTATATATATTTTGACATTTTCTCTTACTCTCTCTCTCTCTCACCTTGTTTGTCATATTTTCATGTAGAAATTGTCAATTTTTATAAATCCATACTCAGTCTTTTTCTTTGTGATCATTTCTGTCATCATTTTTGTGCTCAGAATATCTCTTCTTTCCAGAGATCAGATATATGTGCACTTAGTTTTTATTTTTCCCATTGCACTTTTTAACTTATTTGAAATTTACTTTAGTGAGTTGTGTGAACCGAACTTCACATATTTCCCCCAAATAGGCAATAATCTCAACATCATTTGTTTAACAGACCATTGGCTTTTCCACTGATTTGTGCTCACGCCTTGAGTATAAATAACACAGTCTTACATGTCAATATCAATTCCATGACTTGCATTTCTGTTCCCGGGCGCAGCCTGTCAGTTATGTGCCAACACCATGTATTTTTCACCACAGTAACCATTTACTAACTTTCAGCAGCCAAGTCTTTCTCATCACTATTCCCTTTGGCATGTTGGTTACCATGCACGTTTGCTTTCTCTTCCAGATGAACTGTTTCCCAAAATACAGCTGTTAACATTGTGATTCACTCTTTTACATCCGATTCAACAAGTGCTCATTGAGAACTGATATGAAGGAGCTAATAAATATTGACCAAATCATAATGGCAGCAGCATTTGTGTTTATTTCCTTATATTGACAAGGTGTTTTAAATGTTTAAAGGGGCATCATCGAGGAGTTTCAGAATACTTGAACACACCATTTCAGGCAGGCGTAAAGAAGGGAAAAAGCCCTTCAACATAAACCATGAGGGGACTAGGGGGTAGAGCACACATAGGACTCAGAATCTCTTCAGTTCGAATCAGAAAATTAAATGCCATAGAAGAGGTGAAGGCTGAGATTCGGAATGGGGACCCATGGGCTTAGAGAGTCCCACACTCTAAAATGAGAGACGGCACATGAGCAGGCCCCAGGTTGGCATCAGCACCGTGCATCCTGGGTCCTGGGTTCACAGACCACGGATCTGAGGTCACACCTCTGCGCCTGGCTGGATAACAAACAGCCTTTGCAGTTGTGGGAAGAGAGAGGAAAAAGGTTGGGTTCAGTAAAGTAAACTGACCAATACTATTAAAAAATAGGGTTCACTATCCTATCTAATAAAGAGGTAATATGCAAGTTGACCATCCCTCCAACACACAAGATGGCCGCCGCCATGTGGTTAAAGATGGCCGGCAGGGGAGAGCAGTTGTGGGCAATAGATGTTTCCCAGTTGGGAGGGACCAGGCCTGCAAGGGAGGGCAGTTGGGGGTGACCAGGCTGGCAGGAGAGGACAGTTAGGGGTGACCAGGCCGGCAGGGGAGGGCAGTTAGGGGCAATCGGCCAGCAGGGGAGCAGTTAGGCATCGATCAGGCTGTCAGGGGAGTGGTTAGGGGTGATCAGGCTGGCAGGCAGAAGCAGTTAGGGGCTGATCAGGTAGGCAGGCAGGAGAGCGGTTGGGAGCCAGCAGTCCTAGATTGTGAGAGGGATCCCAGATTGGAGAGGGTGCAGGCTGGGCTGAGGGACACACACCCCCGTGCACGAATTTCATGCACCAGGCCTCTAGTATGTTTTATAATCATCATTATAACCTGTGTTTTTATTTGTGTTATTGGAAAAATGAAGACTTCAATTAGAAAGTATTTTGATAATGTTAAGTCTGTAAAAAGTTTGAATGTTTAAGTGAATTTGATTTAATACTATAACTTTTATTTAATATACTTATTACTTTTTGATGAATTTACTATGATTTTGTTTTTTAAATTTATAACTTTATTCTGTGAGGCAACTGAAATGCCTGAGGGGACCTAACATTTCCCTAGGAAAATGTCTATTTAGATCCTTTGCCCATTCTTAAATTGGATTGTTACATTTGTCTTTTTATTATTGAGTTGTAATTATACTTTATATATTCTAAATAAAAGATTGTTATCAAATATATGATTTTCAAACATTTTCTACCATTCTGAGGGCTGTCTTTTCATTTTCTCGATGATGCCCTTCGAAACACAAAAGTTTTTAACTTTGATGATGTCAAATTTATCTATTTTTTTCTTTTGTTGATTTTGATATTGGTGTCAGTTTTAAGATATAATTCACTTTACAAATTTATATGAAAATACTATTTACTATGTGATAGAAATGAATAGGTATTAT